AGCATCCCTACCTTGTGACGGGAGGAACGAGACTAAAGGTGTGGAAGCTCCCAATAAGGTGAGAGAATTATTTATCGAGAGAACCCATGAATCGCAATTGAAACGTCCAAAATAGGGAAGACTCACGTCCACATTGTATAAACTTGCCATCCCGGCTTCGAAGATTACGACCTATTGATAATTCCTCTCTGCTTGTGACGGGGTCGAGGGATGGCGATGTACAGATTTGGGATATTCAAGTGGGGACTATGGTTTATGCTCTGGAGGGGTTTGCTGCCCCCGTCACCTGCTTGGAAATAGAGATGGGAGTTCGGAAGGAGAGGCCACGATTTGCCGTAGGTGGCTCGATGGACCATTCAGCCAGGGTAAGTCTCGGCGTCTCTAGTTATTAGAAAAGGTATAATGATGAGTGGCCTCCATCTCTCGAACGTTAAAACCACGGTAGGCCGCCCGTCGCCGAATCTCTTCATGGAACCTCTGGTCAAATTGTTTCGAGCGTCCAGCTAACGGGTTTTGCAAGTGTTCGTAGGCAGCGGCTATCGATTGAAATTGTGCCTGGGCCACTTGTTGGGGTATGCCACGGGCGATTGCGGCGTCTGGGTGGTATAATTTCACAAGTTCAAAGTCTGTATGATCATTAGATAATTGTTAAATGCGCAGTGGAGTTGCTTCTCACATCGACTCTTGATAGCGGCTTGATCTGCTCCTGATGACAAATGGAATATCTGGTGTGGCGTTGGATTTGAAGAGAGTGGAAATGGATATTTCCTCAAAACATCTTCTGCGCTGGTTGTCGAAAATAAATGGGAATGCAGCCTAGGAGGGCGCCACGGCCTCGTCGGTCTGATCATGTCGAAAAGAGGAGACTCCAAGTTTGGACCACTGAATTCGAGGGCCACAAAAAAGTCAAAAAAAGGGCTGCCAAATCACCGAGGGGACCTTGGACGACCTCGTGTATGCTGTTTATTGGGTCGGAGATAATCCCAAACGCGTCATAGACGCCCACCTCCCCACTCTGAGCATGGATCCATACGACACATTTCGATGAATATTATGATGGCCAGGTTCGACTCTGGAATAGGTCTAGGGTGAGCTGGGGCGAGTGAACGGCTGAGCTCATAATGGATGTTTTCCCATTGGTCGAATGCTTCTGGATAGATACCAACTTCTTGTCCTCCCACGCACCGGTCACCTCGCTGGGCGATTCTGTAGCGGGAGGGCGTGGGCTTTTAGGCTTCTCGGGGCAAAGAAGAGCACAGGTCAAAAAGAAGCGGGCCCGCATATAAGAGACGAGCGGGCGGGAAATTGGGCGACCCAACATTACCACGACTCTTTCCCCCTCCACCATGTCCAACCAACACGTTATCCAGCGTCTTCAAGAGGCAAGAGTCCTCTTTAGGAGTCACTGTGCCAAGCCAGAGCCCAAGAACCTGTACGACAAGCAGAGCTGGAACATGGCAGGAGTGTACGTCTGCGTTTCACTCCATTCGATTACTGTGACCTAATATTGCGTGATAGACACCTTATCCTCGTCGAATCCGTATTGTCCGTGTATCGACAGGCCGAGACGATCAAACCAGAGGATGAGGAAGCCTTTGTTTTCTACGCCCTCCTCACCATGGGTGGATTGCACCACCACCACGAAGAAGAAGAAGAGAATTATTGTGAGTATTTTCAGGTTGCTTGGCGAACGTCACTCATGCCAGAACAGTACCCATGCTGGAGCCAGAATTCGTAAGACACTCTTCTCATATTCTAACCAATGATTTTCTGACATTACTCTAGCAAAGTCACATTGCAGACGAGCACCACTTGTTTACAGAGCCGCTCCACGAGATCGAAAACTATCTCGCCGACATCCTTTCGTTGGAGTGGAGTAAAGATGCCGGAAACTACTCCAAGGCCAG